GGCTGCCAATGAGTCCTGGCTTTTCCCGGAGTTAGGGAATTCTTACTCTGTAAAAAAAACCAACATTGCTCTACTCACAGTTGAGAACCTCTTTAGACCAGGCTTAAAAATGTGACAAAGTTTTATTTAATACCAGTCAGGTCTATCAATGCTGTAGGCATAGCGCATGGCCCAGGACTGATGCAAGCCCCAGCTCGCAGTGGTTGGGAAGACGGGTCTCTCCGCACTTCATAAATTCATGGATTCCAGAATGGACCATTGTGATCACCTAGTCTGACCTCCTGCACAACACTTCCCTAGGCTTCAGCTGAGCTGATGCAACCTGCCATGCCTCGTCCCCACTATGGCCAGGAAGCAAGCACCTTTCTCTGCCCTTCCTATTCAGGGAAACTCTTCCGTCCACATCTTCCCAGGGTCAGCAGAGAGACTGCTCTGAACAAATGGTGCCTTCAGCCAAGAGGGTCTGGCAGGGGGGTGCCATCTTTGCATCCACTATGGCCCGGGCCAGAGGCAAAGCTGCCCACTTCTCTTGCTGCATTTAGATTGTAAAATCCTGCTGAGGGAAATCTAGTGATGTCTGTGTCTTTATTTAGAAGGTTCCCCTGGAGGGGTTTCAAGGATCAAAGCTAAGAGATAAATGTGTTCTCCCTTTCATTGGCTTACAAGCCCATTGAGATCCAGGAAATTTCCATTCATCTGTTACACATCTCAAACATCAATTGCAGCAATTATGTCCTCTAATGTCTCCTTTGCTTCCCATTGCTCTGATTTTCTGCACCACATATGATGAGTTCCCCTCCCCAGCTTCTTTCTCTTTAATCGTGTCTATACTGCCAACCGGTTCTGAAGCTGGCTTCCCCGGCTGATGGAAGATGCCCCTTTGCAGGACAATCCGCAGGTGGCATAGAGCTGCCGGAGAGGCTTTTACGCCAAGTCCCCTCCTGCTGAACGTGTGGATTGTCTGGCTCAGAAAAAGGGGCTGCCAGAACTGCCTGCAAATCAGGGCATCCTTTAATTTGCACCAAAGACCAGATCAGCACCTGAATGACCACAGGATCATTAGTGCAAATCCTTGTGGTATTTAAGGGGTGCTAGAGACTTACCTGCTAAATAGCCTCTAGTACATATAACACAGTAGTCACAACGAGAAAAAAAATTTTGCCCACATGGCTCAGGGAAATGGTGGTATCAATAGCCGTGCTTAAGTACAGATGTGACATGCTAGCACAGTGCCACCCCCATCCTGTCCTTTCTTATTCTATTTCTATATGGGCATACTGTGTTTCTCTTCACCCAGCCCCGTTGCTCCTCCCTCCCGCTTGCTGGTATTACACAGCTCTCCAGCCAGCTTCCCTCGTGCCCCTGGGGTGGAATGGCAGCTCTGGGCTGTTGCCACACAATGGACGCCCTCTGCTGTCATGGCAACAGAATGCTCTGGCCTGATTATCACAGCACCCCCTGTTGGAAGGACTTTGAGAGCTTCCTCATGCCATTTCAACAGCACATTTTCCAGGGCCATTTGTCTACTCTGCAACAAGCTCCTTCCCCGTTGCACCCTGATTAGTGGGGCTTTATGGTAGCATGAAACCTCAATATATTAAGTAATAATTCCAGAAGAAAAGGGACTTCCCTTCCTGTATCATTCCTGTGTGCTAAGGAAACCTCTTCCAGCCGTCTCCCTTTATGGGATTTGCTGGGGATTTGTTCTGCCTTTTATCTGGCTATGAAAACCCTTATGCTGATGAGGAAGCATAACTCGGATGCATCAGCAGGGCCTAGGATGACCAGATAGCAAGTGTAAAAAATCGGGATGGGGTGGGGGGTAATAGGTGCCTATATAAGAAAAAGACCCCAAAATCGGGACTGTCCCTATATAATCGGGACATCTGGTCACCCTAGCAGTGCCAGTGGCAACCCGTGTGTGTTAGATACTCGGTTAGAGCTGCTTGTTCACATTTCCATATGGCCAGAGGGGATGCGGCTCACTGCTTAGGAGGCTTGGAGCAGTTTTCCAGTGGAATGATGATTTATAGTGATATTTTGGTTCCGTTCTCTTAAAATCAGGAGCATCCCACTACAAGCAGCACATCCAGCTCTGGTAGAAATGATCTTCTTGTCCTGCCCACAATAACACTGTAAATAACAACACGCCCAGAGTGAATGAGATGCTGCAGCGCAAATGGGACTGACTTACTCTCTTGCTCTGAATGGCAGCATCTAAATCTCCATGAAACCCTTGTCGGACTCTGGGAAGGGGCAGTACACTGGAGAAAGAAAAAGATCAGCTGGCTGGGTGGTGTGGCTGAACTGTATAAAAAGCGACATTGAAAGAATGCAACAGATTTGAACTCAGGACAAGAGTCGCCTCAAAGTCTGTCCTCTATCAGGCCCTTTAAAGGACAAACTCTGTGAGTTCAGTATTATGATCAATTCTCCTATTTTCTGGTAGAGGGCGGTGTCGCCCATGCACCACAAATCAGCACATACTTCCTTCTCTAGCGATGGCCTCCAGCAGGAGACAGAGTATCTGATGTTCACCAACTGGTTGGGCACCAATCTGTAGTGATTCCCACAGGCACAACATCCGGAGGCGGCCAAGGAATTCAAACTTGCTAGTTTTGCCTCCAGAATGCCTGGCATCTAGCCTGTAAACTAAAAGAGCAGCTCCCCGGGTTCTTTTATGGTCTAGTTCTCCACTGATGCTGCTGTCACCCAAATCGGCTACATTCAGCCACACTGCTGTTGCAATCTGCCTGGAGTGTCCAGGAGCAGTCACGAGCTATAACACTAGCTACTTCCAGCTGAGACAAGCTTAGCACTTCTTCCCTCTGACGAGAGTTGCTTCACTCTCGTATCTGGCCACCAGCTTAGAGCTAGTTCTGCTAATAGGAAAGAAGTATTCCTGGTATATTACTATAAACTCATCCCTCGTATAGCACTTTGAGGGTGGTGGCACAAGACAATACTGCATTGTGCTGGACCCGTCCACCCATTTAAGTCAATGACAAACTCCCATTAATTTCAATAGGATCAGGATCATATTAGTGAGATCCAGCTTCTTCTGCATTAATGGAGCCTCTTTTATCTTCCATAGAGGGGAAACTGTACCTTAGAGCTGCAGATTCTGAGTTCCAATCTCAGCCAGATGTGTACGTGCCAGGGCCGGCTCCAGCATTTCTGCCGCCCCAAGCAAAAAAAAAAAAAAAAAAAGACCGCGATCGCAATCGGCGGCGGCAATTGAAAAAAAAAAAAAAGACCGCGATTGGTGGCAGCAGTTTGGCAGCAGGTCCTTCGCTCCTACAGGGCATGAGGGACCTGCCGCCCCCAAATTGCCGCAGGTGCCGCCCCTCTCCCTTGGCCGCCCCAAGCACCTGCTTGTTAAGCTGGTGCCTGGAGCCGGCCCTGGTACGTGCAATAGGTTAATGACCATAAAGCTGGGACGTTTGTTGCCTTGAATCATTTACACAGTGTCATTGCCAAGGCCTGAGCAGGTTAAAAAGGGCCAATTAACTTTATAGGCTGCACCGGAAGGAGAGTCAGGGCCTGATAAAGCCTAATTGAAGGTGAAGCCCGGCTGGGCAAAGGCAGGCTGGGCTTGTAGAAAATCAGGAAGTTGAGCACAAGAGGGGCTAGCAGGCAGGGCCGGCTCCAGGCACCAGCTTAACAAGCAGGTGCTTGGGGCGGCCAAGGGAGAGGGGCGGA